TGTGTATCACTGAAGCCACAGCAAAACTAAATGGCAAAGTTTTCCTCTGCGCTTCCTGCTTAGAAACTTCCCTTAAACCAATCGGAGCACCTGCCTCCTGTCTCCTCAGCTCAGTGGCTTCTGCATCTCTCAGTCTGTGCTGCTACACCAACAGAGCCCTCTCTCCATATGGCTCCTCATTGCACCGGCTCATTTTCATCTCCTTCCTCATCATCATCATCATCATCATCATCACAAGACGGAATAAGCAGAAGAAAAAGAAGGAGAAGGAGTGCAAATGTTCAGGACAGGAGGAGGGGAGGGAGGCTGCCCGTGCCCTGCCCTGCAACAAGCCTGCATAGGAGGGCAGGGTGAAGGCGAGGAGGGAGGCGACTGGGCCCAGATCAAATTACATAACACGTTTTTTTGCAGGTTTGATTTGGCACAGGGCGCACCGCGTGACCAGGGCACATTTTACGCATGGCACGGTGTCGGTTCGCGTTTGAAAATCTCACAATTATCACATCGCATCGCTGATTTGGGGTCATTTTTGGTGATTTTAGGTGGGCGGGAGCAGCAGTCTTGCACTCAGCCTCTACAGGTGATTGGTAGCACTCGTTGTCCAATCACGACGCGTCTGCAAAGTGGCTTGCTGGTCACTTTAGTCGCTTTGGGGTCGCTGTCTCTTCACCAAAGTAGCAAGTTTTCCATGCAAACTCGGGTATACTTTTGGTTTTCGCCGTTTCTTTCTATTTCGACCACTCTGGGGCGCGATCGCTGCACTTTGATCACCAAAAAATATTAAGAATCCCTCCAATCTGTTATGCCTTGTAAAGAGATGCTAGCTGGGGTTAGCACGGAGAAAACTGGATTTACGCACGTCTCACGTCGCACTGCAAACACCAGGTGAGCTGAAATTCACAGACACGCTACTTGTAAACCCGTTTGACATTGCCCGGGGGGTATTTTCGCGTTTGGATCCGGCACGAGTTAGTTTTAAGAGCGTAAAACTGTTGCCATCTGCCTGGGAAAAGTGCTAGCCTGCTGTATGGCGTAGGGTCAGTGAGGAAGCTACAGCAACCTCACAGCTACTTATCTCGCCTCTTTTCCTTAAATAAACACAGCTGTTTTGGAGAGAAACGGGGCGAGGAGAAGAGGGCTTGAAATTATTCGCGAAACCTCCCCAAAGCTGCCTTGTAATCGCGTTATTATCCCCGCATGCTTGTCGTTTGCAATTTGGCAAATCGGATCGTGTCTCTGTCTCTTGTCTGTGTTTCTCTCTCTTTCTTTCTCGTTTTTCTATGAATGTGCACGTCTTCTGTTGCAACTAAACTTGTTCATCGTCAAAACACGCCCCTTTGGCTTTGATTGGAGCACGTTTTGGCGTTTTAAAAGAGCAGAAACTAAAATAAACACAAGGATTTTGACAATGGAAGTGCACTGTGGGTGTGTGTGTTGCAATGCATTTCTTGCTTGGCTAATCTAATCTCTTCACACATGACTGCAATTAATCCACAAAAGAGCAACCATAACATGACAATATAGCACAGAGAGGTCTCGTGAACGCATCTAGCCGTTTACTATTTGCACATTAGCGTAATTAATTGTATTAAACCTGTTGTGTGACATGTTTTGCAGGCCTACATGTGCATCAGGGGTGACAGAGCTCCCCAGCGGATGATAACGATGGCACTAAACATCTGGATCTCATCCCCACAGGAATCTCCTCCCAGACCCAAAGGTTTTTTCAATTTCCTCTTTATTATAATTGTTTAATGGATGTTTTCATGCGCATGTTTGGATTAAGGATACACTAAGGCTGCGTTCAGACTGCAGCCTGGAGTGACCCAAATCTGATTTTTGGGCCCCTATGTGACCTGTATTTGATCTTTTAATGACAGTCTGAATGACACAGATCTGATTTTTTTCAAATGTGACCCAGGACACTTGGATATGTGCTCTTAAAACCGATACATATCCGATCTTTTGACATGTGACTTCAGTGTGAACGGCCAAAGAGCATTCCTCCCACCTACACGTTATCAACAAGCCACAAACGTCACTATTCTGCGCTGAAGTAGGCGAAAATTGTTAATGAACTCGTGTCACTGAAGCGAAGCACATCACCACTCACCACTCTTGGCTCCGTCTCCACATCCACACGTTCCTTTCAACGGACGTCGCTGCCGCTGTCCCACAAAACACCACGGCCAAAAAACCTCGTCCTTCTCCTTCTCAATCTCCTCCTTAAAACAAGTAAGTTGTTCATGTTCTGGCTCCGGTACGAGAGGAACTTTAAAATCTCCAGGTGCTCGATGCTGCGTCCATGTTTGAACAACTTCCAGTAAACACAGAGCACGCTCGCTGCGGTTGACGTCATCGTGTCTCCAGTGCACATGCGGGACACTTTCGGGCCGTTTACCGTTCACACTGGAGTCACATACAAGTGGCATTTAATAGGAAATGTGAACGACCTCGCAAAAACATCAGATTTCACAAAAAAATCGGAATTGAGCGTTAAGCCCTGCAGTCTGAACGTAGCCTAAATCTCTTAAGAACTACTGCTGGTTTTATATAACATGACAGTGTGCCATTGGCTGTAGGTGTTTCACTGAGAAAAACAGAAACATAAATGCTTGTCAATTTAAAGGTAGATAGATGGATAGAAAGAAAGACAGAAAAAACAGACAGAAAGAACCTTTATTTATTCCGAAGGAAACTGATTATCGACAACCAATATTTGATGTATACTAAAAATAACAAAATTGGAGCGCTACACTGGATCAAAAAACTTACGCATACAGGTGCTCATCAAACCGGAGGGCTTAGATTCACGTGAAGTAGAAAAAAGGACGGCAGAGGCACTCAGATTTGCGGTGTTGCGCCCCAAGACACGTGATAGTTAAAAAACACAAACGAAAGCTCCCAAAACATTTGCACGTTGAATCCAAGTCTGTTGACAACAAACCATTCGTAACACAACAGATAAATAACACCGTTCTGTATAAGTTGGAGTAAAGTCAACAATATATGATCCCTTAGATTACGCAGCACACTTCAAAAAGTATTTTCAATTGATCATCAAGAAGAAGAAAACACCAGTAATTTCATAACAGAGGTAATGAGAAATACTCGGGTATTTGGTGGCCAATTTGATGTTTACTGTTTTCTGTACCAGAGCAGCACTTTTTAATGAAACTTTTGTGTTTTAATAATTATCTATAATGACAAGAAATAAGTATAATGTTCATAAATTTCATGTATAGTGACATTTATTGTATTGCTTACCAGAACTCAATAGACATAACAACTTTAAAAAACAATATATTTGTACCAGTATCTTATTTTTGTTTGGTTATATACTGGTACTTTTAAGTGGTACCACACAAGAGATACTGGTATATTGGCTCCTACTCTTATCTTTATCCTCTGTAAATGGCCAGTATTGTCTAAAATTACCGGCTGTAGGTGTTTCAATGAGAAAAACATAAACATAAATGATTTTCAATTTAAAGATAGGAAGATAAAAAGATAGAAATAAAGACAGAAAGAAACTTGATTCATCCCGAAGGAAACTGATTATCGGGAACATTTATTTGATGTGTACTGTTTTCTGTACCAGAGCAGTACTTTTTTATGAAACTTTTTGCGTTTTAATAATTATCTACAATGATAGAAAAGAAATATAATGTTCATAAATTTCATGTATAGTGATATTTACTGTAGGAACTGCCTAGTAATGTTCTGCATTGCTTAACAACTTTTAAAAATAATATATTTGTAGCAGTATCTTATTTTTGTTTGGTTATATACTGGAACTTTTAATTAATACAGGGATACTGGCTCCTGCTCTTATCTTTATTCTTTTTAAATGGCTAATATTGTCTAAAATGTGGGCTACACTGCATGATTGGCTGTAGGAGTCTGTATGTCGACTGACACATGTAGCACAATACTGTTTGAAAATGAAGGGAAAGGGGAGGAAAAAATGACTCAAAATACTTGGTACTTCTGCTTTAAAGCCGTATTAGGTGATAAAACTACTAAAAAGTTGAGTAAAATATTTGATGTATTAGTTTGGGACAATTCATTCACAAGAAGTTTGATTTTTATGTTGCACCAAAAAAGATAACCTTCATAAAATAGTACACCGCTGTGGTTCTTCAGGCTCGATGAAAGATATGGAAGGTCAGATTGTGTGAAAATAAAATCCAGATAATCATTCCTCTGAATCTGTCAAGTGGCGCTTTAAATGTTAGTCACACTTTCTCCACGTGGTGGCGATATTTGCAAACCAATCAATGAAGGTGTGACCGTTTGATTTGTCTTAATTGAAATTTCACATGGAGCTCGCCTCGCAGCTTTGTTCTGCTGTTGACAAAATCACACTTTGCTGTTTGCTTATTAAAGTTTTATTAAAGAGAAATTTTATTATTAACATTCGTATATATTTTTTAAATTCTGTGAATTTATCCAGAAGGCAGACTGACGCTTTCTACTGGACTTGGCATTTGATTTGAAATATAAATACCTTATTTTATTTACATATTTTGAGCGCAGCTTTGGGATATTTGCTGTTTGTGGTACGAAAACTTTAAACTGGTGCAATTTCTGATGACAGTATGGTTTGTTTCACGTTTAGGGCAACAGTAACACTTCATTTGTTCTTTATGACTTCTGGATTGACTTATTTTTAGTAATCTGTTAATGCATGAAAACACTTGTGCGTATGGCAGCTGCTGTCAGACCAGCTGTCTTTATAGTTTTTTTTTTTTTTTTTTCCATTTCCGTGTAAAATACATTAGCAGTACGAACCTATTTTTGAACGACTCCCAGTGTATAAATAATTCGTCGTGCGTCAGTGTGAGTCGAGCCTATTAAAAGATGCGAATCCCGAGCCGAAGTTCATCCGCATCCCATCATCCCACTCTCTCCTCTCCGCATCCGCGCGCGCCCCCTCCTCCTGTGGACCCCCGGGCCCCCGCTCTGCGCATGCGCCTGGAGCTGCGTGGGAATGGCTGGGTCCGCGCGCGAGGGGCCGGGCCGCGAGAGCAGAGCCGAGCGCTGCGTGAGTTTGTAATGTCCGCCATGTTGGCCATGGCGTGTTGAACCGGGGAGAGCAGCGGAGCCTGGGAAAAAAACACACCGACAGAGAGCGACCGAGACCCGGCCTGCGCGGCTCTGTGCGCCGCTACGGACCCGAGCCTTCCGCGAACAGCCCGGCCGACTCCCCGAGACTGCACAGACTCATCCATGAGCACTAGAAGCAGCACTGCCGTTGTTCTTAGCAGACCGAGTAGATTTATGCTGCGGATTTAAAATAAAAATGAGTAAATTGTCGTTTCGGGCGCGGGCTCTGGATGCTAGTAAGCCTCTACCCGTCTTCCGCTGCGAGGATTTGCCAGACCTGCACGAATATGCCTCCATCAACCGGGCAGTGCCGCAGATGCCCACCGGGATGGAGAAGGAGGAGGAATCGGTATGTTTTTCACTGCTCTCACCGGCGGCCGCTCGCTTTGGCGGGGCGTTCATCGCGAGGGGCGCCGCTGTCTTTGCCTGCGCAGCCTGTGCAAAATGGCCGCCATGTCTGTCCGCTCGTGCACACGACGGAACTCGACAAAAACGCCGTTTAGCCTCCGCAATCCGCTATTTATGCATTTATAACGCGATATTAAAGCTAAATTGTGTTGTTGATCTGGGTTTGGCGCATCGGTTTGAGCACACTTTGCATTCACGGGCACAAAGAAGTCACGTGACCCGTTGTACGCTCCTCCATTTTGTTGACTTTCTCGTCGTAGCCGCGGCCTGGACCTGGTGTGATTTCCGTGACTCGGGGCCAGGGGGAGACCGTGAGCCCTGGCCGGCTTTTGACAGCTCCGGGCGGCGTGTTGACAGCCTCGCCTCGGCCATGTGTTCCGCCGCTTGGCCCCCGCAGCTGTGCACCGGAGCAAAGAGTGAAATGTGCGCGGTGTTTATGGCTCCACTTGTTTTGCTTCGCGGGGGATAATTTTGGCTGATTCCCGGAGCAGATGTGATGTTATTTACTTGTGCAGCACTTGCGTATTTTACACTGTTTATAAATGGCAGCTTTGTGATTTATAGATATTACTTTATAAGATGACATTTGTGGAAAAGTTGGACTTTTACTATTATGATGCAGGCATTGCCAAAGGTTTAACTATGATTGAGTAAATTACAAATAAGTAGCCACTTTCAATGTCTGAAATAATATTAATAGTGCAAAATGCCACTCATATATTTAATAGTCTTTTTCAACAAGTAACTAAATGTAATTGTTTGTGCAGTGGACTGTGGAAGATAATTTTAGACTTTTGGGCCATGTTAGTCGCTTATATTAATGGGAAACACTGGTATACCGCTATTTACTTTACAGATTTCTATATTCCTGCTAATAACTTGTCAATAGGCGTTTACAAGATGACATTTATATAAAACTTGGACTTTAATTTTGATGCAGGCATTGCCAAAGGCTTAACTATTGAGTAAATTACAAATAAGTAGCCGCTTTCAATGTCTGAAATAATGTTAATAGTGCAAAATGTCACTTATTGCCTTTTATCATATATTTAATAGTCTTTTTCAACGAGTAACTAAATGTGATTGTTTATAGAGTGGACTATGGAGGATAATTTTGGACTTTTGAGCCATGTTAGTCGCTTATATTAACGGGAAACACTGTTAAAGGGTTATTTACTTTACAGATTTCTATATTCCTGCTGATAACTTGTCAATAATTCGTCAATAGTCGCATACAAGATGACATTTGTGGATAACTGTGACTTTAATTATGATGGAGGTATCACTATTATTGAGTAAATTACAAATAAGTAGCAGCTTTCAGTGTCTGAAATATTTATTCTTATTGCTTTATCATATTTTTAATAGTATTTTTAACAGTAGTAACAGGTAACTGAATGTTATAGTTTGTTTTTAGTGTTTTTAGAGTGGACTACGGACTACTGTATTAAAAAAAAATTTTAGACTACCATGTTGGTCTATATTGATGGGAAACACTAGTATAGCGTTAATTACTTTACAGATTTCTATATTCCTGCTAATAATTTGTCAATAGTCGTATACAAGATGACATTTATGGGTAACTTGGACTTTAATTATGATGGAAACATTGCCAAAGGTTTAACTATTATTGAGTAAATTACAAATAAGTAGCAGCTTTCAATGTCTCAAATACTTATTCTTATTGCTTAATCATATATTTAATAATCTTTTTTAACAGTAGATGCTTTTGTATGTTTGACAATTCAACAAGTAACTAAATGTAATTGTTTATAAAGTGGACTATGGAGGATAATTTTAGACTTTTGGGCCAATTTAGTCTCCTATATTAATGGGAAACACAGGTATAGCGCTGTTTAGTTTACAGATTTATATATTCCTGCTAATAATTAGTCGTATACAAGGTGACTTGTGGATAAATTTTGACTTTAATTATGATGGAGGTATAACTATTATTGAGTAAATTGAAAATAAGCTGTGGCTTGTAGTGCAACAGTGTCAGAAAATGTTAATTTTAATACAATATAATATGTCACGCATTGCCTTGTCTTTTTAACAGTAGTTGCGTTTGTATGTTTGAGAATGCAACGAGTAACTAAATGTGATTGTTTTCAGAGTGGACTATGGAGGATAATTTAATATATTAGACTATGGGGCCATGTTAGTTTCCTACATTAATGGGAAACACTGTTATAGCGCTATTTACTTTACAGATTTCTGTATTCCTGCCGATAATGTGTCAATAATTTGTCAATAGTTGCATGCAAGATGACAGTTTTGGATAATTTTGACTCATTATGATGGAGGTATCACTATTATAGAGTAAATTATACTATAAGACACTACTTATTTGTAGCAGTGGTAGAAATTTAATTTTAATACAGTACAAAATGTCACTTATTGCCTTTAATCATATATTTAAGAGTCTTTTTAACATTAGTTGCTTTTGTATGCTTGACAATATAACAAGTAATTAAATGTGATTGTTTTTAGAGTGGACTGTGGAAGATAATTTTAGACTTTTGGGCCAATTTAGTCTCATATATTAATGGAAAACACAGGTACAGCGCTATTTACTTTACAGATTTTGATATTCCTGCTAATAATTTGTTAATAGTCATATACAAGATATATGTGGATAACTTTGACTTTAATTGTGATGGAGACATTGTGAAAGGTTTAACTTTTATTGAGTAAATTACCGACAAGTAGAGGCTTGTAGTGTAACTTTGGCACAAATATTTTTAATTTTAATACAATATAAAATGTCATTTATTGCCTTGTCTTTTAACTGTAGTTGCTTTTGTATGTTTGACAATACAGTTAGTAACTAAACGTGATTCTGTCATGCCAGTGTTTTATATCTGGATAATTTTTGGAGGATAATTTTTGATTATTTGGCCATGTTTGTCTCATATATTAATAGGAAACACTGGTATAGCGCTGTTTACTTTACAGATTTCTATTTTCCTGCTAATAACTTGTCAATAGTCGTTTACAAGATGACATTTATGGATAACTTTGACTTTAATTACGATGAAAGCATTGCAAAAGGTTAAAGTATTATTGAAAATTACAAATAAGTAGCGGTTTTCATTGTGTCATATACATTTTGACTGGTGGTGGCTCAAATAATATTGATAATGTAAATTGTCTAGGGGTGTAACGATATCCAAGTCTCACGATACGATATCGGCACGGTCCGATATTTATTGCGATAGCGTGGGAAAGCTCGCGATATGATGGGGAGGCTCAGGATTAGGGATGTAACAATATCCAAATCTTTCAGTACGATATTTTCACGATATTTATTGCGATATTTTGTGGAGGCTAAACAGCTAAAACTGTTAATATGCTACTTTTTCTTCTTAAAATGCCTTGACAAGACTTAATCCAAACAACTAAAACTTAAAAGCGCTTAGAAGTGTTATTACTTCTTGTAGTCTGCACTGAAATGCAGCAAAGGATCATGGTCAATGTAGTTCCCTGTGTTTTTTTTAACCATAACTCTTTAATTTAAACATAGAGACTTGTAATTCGATATATTGTGATGGTCCACGATATTATTGTGAGAACTTTAACGATACGATATCACTATATGTTGCTTATTTTTTTAACAGTAGCTGCTTTTGTGTGCTTGACAGTCTGAGTAACTAAACATGATTCTGTTTTGCCAGTTTATAATGGCCGGTTGTTTTTAGAGTCGACTATGAAAGATAATTTTAGACTATGGGGCACACTGTAGTCTCCTGTGTTGATGGGAAGCACCATTTACTTTACCGACTTCTAAATCGCTGCTAATAATTCATCAATAGTCGTGTACAAGATGACATTTATGGATAACTTGGACTTTAATTGCGATAAAGGCATTGCGAAAGGTTTAGGTATTGAGTAAATCATAGATAAGTAGCGGCTTGTGGCGTTTCACGTACATTTTGGCCAGACCATCATGTCGCAAATCATTTTTATGCTTAAAAACGTCACTTACTGCCTATAGTCCGTATTGAATTGGTCTTTCTTTTTTTAACAGGAGCTGCTTTTGTGCGTTTGACAATACAATGAGTAACTAAGTGTGATTGTGTTTTGCCAGTGGTTGCTTTCAGAGCAGACTATGGAGGATAATTTTAGTCTACGGGGCCCGTTTTAGTCTCATATATTAATGCGAAACACTGGTTCAGCACTGCATACTTCACAGATTTCTAAAGTGGCGCTAATGGGCGTGTAAAAAATGGGTCCAGTTCTTCTTTTTAGCCTATTTTATTTAGTGTTTGCTTTAGTCGTTGACCGTGGAACTTTACAGTTGTAGGAAACAATATTATGACCTCACAAATAGTTTAGCCATTGAATTAATTATAAACTCGCAGCTTGTACAGAGAGGTAGGTCCACGCTGTTTAACAAGTAACAACTGCGCAAATAATCATTGATTCGAAGTTGCTGCTTTATAATCGTTTTCAATTTGGGCTGGGTCTCGTTAAAAAGCTGCCGATAAGATACGTACCTCTACATAAAGGTCACAATATGACATAAAGGCCACAATATGACATAAATCTCGATAAAGTGACAACTCTAAGATATATTTCAAAATGATTGGACACAGTTCAGTGAAATATAAAGACAGAATCATGGCTGTGATACTAAAAGTCTTTATCGAACCACTACTTGTGCAGAGTTCATATGAAACGCATCAGTTTTAATTATCAAAACAGTGAATATAGTTTCCTTCTTCTAAAAAAAAACCCCAAAATTGTCACAAAATAATAGCGGTTGGATGAGATGCAATTTTCACAAGACAAAAGGAGACACTACAGTAAGAAACAAGACAGGATTTTGACATTATTTAGGCAATAATAAATACATTTCGGTTTGATTTCATTTCCGAATTTTAGCTTCACCTTTTTTGTTTTTTCATCTTTATTTAATAATTCTGCTGTCGTTGTAGC